GCATGTGCATATGCGCATAATACTTTTACGCATGCGCATTTAATGTATAATGGACAGTATAAGCTAAGCTAAAATTATCTATTTCAATTAATGTTGCAGATTGCGTTGTTCCTTAATCTTCTAATTGGATCTGGCTTATTATTTTTTGCGGACTGTTAGAGCAATTTTATGAAAACAAGCTTGAACTTTCAATTATGTCAGAAAGAATTTCCGATTCTGGAGCTACCAAAGGATCTACAAAGCGAAAGCATGTTCCGATGTCCATCGAACATAAAGTGGAATTGCTGCAAAAAATGCATAAAGGCATACCCTTTGATTCTCTAATCATTCCGAAATATGTTTATCAATTTCACGCTGCTCTGTGGGGGGGGGGACGTGGCGCACAATGAACTGAAGTTGATCTCTCAGCACTATCCTTATCTTCAGGGCAGATGTTTTTATTTTATTCGGCTTATAATTCCTTACTAAATGTAGTACAGTCAAAAGTCTAATTCGGACTCGTTGGGACTTTGGCGATTCCGGATTATAGATCATCAGTTTAAATCTGGTAAGATGGCATGCAGAAATTATAAAATTAAAAATATGAAACCGTAATTTATGAAATAAAGAACAATTATGATCTAAAGGGTAACAAAATTTACAAAAAAAAAATGCTTAATATTTATTTGTTTACTTTATTAAACATTTCTTTCAATGCGCGCATTCATAAAGTATACATTACGTATAGTCGAAATTAGAAAATTGCAATTAAACTATTTGATGTGTATTGTGATATTTATAATGATAAGGAATTTGATTTAAATCATATCAAAGACTGAGTACATCGAGATGAAATACTACATTTAGTAATGAACTATAAGCCGAATAAAAAAAATCTGTCTTGAAGATAAGGATAGTGCTGACAGGTCAACTTCCAGTTCACTGCGCTCTGTGATGTCCCCTCTCTACACCCGCAGAACAGAGTGAAATTGATAAACAGATTTCTGAATGGTTAGAGAAACAAAGGATATGCCTTTATCCATTTTTTGCAGCTATTCCACTTTTTCTTTGATGGACATCGAAGCATACTTTCGCTTTCTAGATCCTTTGGCAGCTCCATCATCGGAAATTCTGTTTGACATAATCGAAAGTTCAAGCTTACTTTTATAAAATTGCTCTAACAGTCTGCAAAAAATAATAAGCCAGATCCAATTCGAAGATTAAGGAACAACGCAATCTGCAACATTAACTGAAATAGATAATTAGATAATTTTAGCTTAGCTTATACCGTTTGTTATAGATTAAATGCTCATGCGTGAACGTCTTATGCGCATGCATGAACGCATTATGCGTTGATGCATGCGGAGAAAGTTTCTAGCTTTGAGGTCCGGATTATAGATCATTCCGGATTAACGACTTTTGACTGTATTTCATCTCGATGTACTCCGTCTTTGATATGATTTAAATCAAATTTCTCGTCATTATAAATATCACGAATACACATCAAATAGTTTTCTGGTTGCAATATTCCAATTTCGACTACGCGTAATGTATGCTTTACGCATGCACGCATTGAAAGAAATGTTTAATAAAGTAAACAAATAAATATAAAGCTCTCTCTCTCTCTTTTTTTTTTTTTTTTTTGTAAATTTTGATACCCTTTAGATCATAATGGCTCTTTATTTCATAAATTACGGTTTCATATTTTTAATTCTATAATTTCTGCATGCCATCTTCCCAGATTTAAATTGATGATCTATAATCTGGAAAAACTGATAATCCGGAATCGCCGAAGTCCTGACGAGTCCGAATTAAAGACTTTTGACTGTATTAGGCAAAACTAAAAAGTTACTTAGAATCAAATTTTTATAAAATGACAAGAGAACTTTCATACATCAGCAAAAATATATCAAAGAAATTTTTTCAAAATTTAAAAATTTCAGATACCAAAAACTTCACTTTCTATAGCTAAAGGCACTATTCTTACAAAATTAGATTGTCCATCTACAAGTGCAAAAATTACCCTTTAAAAATCTATTGGGATATTCAGTTTTGGTAGTTAACAGAACAAGACCCGATATCGCATATGCAGTAAATATCTTATCGTAGTTTCAGGAGAATCCTGGAATTAGGCATTGGGAAGCATTGTTGAAACTGCTTCGTTATTTCAGTAGTACTAAATCGTGTAAGTTAAACTTATTGAGGATTAAATATATTATATATATTGTTATTCAGATGCTGATTGTGCAAGTAACAGATTTAGACCTATTCCTCCAGTTATGTATCTTCATTTAAAATACATGTTTATAAATTAACCTTTGTCCAGGTAATGGAAGATTGAATATTGAGCCATTTCATCAATGCCCCTTCAACATATTTATGCTTGGCTTTTTCCTCATATCTAATTTGCTTTAATAAATAGAAATTATTGAGTCATGGTTTTTTTTAATATGGCAAAAATTGCACATTTGGATAAAGCGTATTCCAGGCAGATATAGATTCGGCTACATTCAATTTTGTGTTTTTTGAATAGTGCTGTACTTTCATTCAGCACAGAAAGGTGTACATTTACTGCTGAGCATATAAATGAATTTTTGGTGTTAAAAATTTCTTCATTGTGGAGTAAGGTATTAAAAAAAAAGAAAAAAGAAAAAAGTGGAATTCGAAAATCTGAAAATAATTCCATCACTAATCTGTTTTATCTAATGTCCAGTAAGAATGCATTTGTTTCAATCAAGGTATGTGTAGTTAAAGGTTATAATAAATATTCAAAATCTTGCAAAAGATCAGAAGAATGCAACATCCTCCCATTCAGAAGCACCCACCAGCGACCTAATGCTCATTACACACTGTTCTGTTGGGGGTTTGAATCCCGCTGAACGAGCTGGCTGTATGGTCATTTTCATGGTTTTCCTCATGTGAAACATGTATACGAACCAATTTCCCATAGGAAGTCCTCTTCGAAAGCATCCCTTTCCTTAGGCAGATAGCCTTGAGTAGTTTGCCATGATCAATTCAACCAAACCAACCTATTCAGAAGTAGAACTTTAACAGTATTTTAAATTGTGGGGGGGGGGACGGTAAGGCTATGGCAAAAATTTCCATTTATAACATCAATCTTGAACTGAACTCTTTCTGACAGCTTAGGCAAAGAATTTTAATAAAATTCCATTCAAATTCTTTGACTCAATGGCTATTGGTACCATTATGTTTCCTTAAGCTTTGTTTTTTTATTTGCTAATTCTCCACGAATAAGTGTTAAACCTGCTTCACATAGCATTTGAGAAGGCGTAGAAACGTGTAGATGTAAAGGAAAGAGTGGTAAGTTAAAGATTTATCTTGCTTTCAAAAACCATTTTTTATTGACTTTTAGAATTAAAAATGCATACCATATAAAGCTTACGATTGATTAATTTGTTAAAATTATCAAGTGGCTCAAAATGCGAGTTTCTACAAAACTCCTTGAAGTTCTGATCAGACTACATTCTGGATCAGAGCTAGAAATGTATTTTCTCACAATTTCTGAAAGAGCATTAAATTGTTCAGCACCATATATTTATGTGAAACTACTTTCAGCTATCCTGATATTGAAAGAATGTCGATCCTAACATCCTAAATATGGATGACTTTAATTTCCAGATGAAATTGGAAAAATCATATTTTTCCAGTAATGTCGCTTTCTTACGTTAAATTCAAACGAATAATTTTTTAACGAGTTTTTATTTTTAATTATTAATGTATTCACCCTTGTTATCGACAACCTTTTGCCATCTAGCATGCAGATTTTCAATCACGGACCAATAAAAATCAATTGGTTTTTGTGTAAAATATCTTGAAATGATATTTTGGACATCATCCACAGAATAAATGGAAATCCGAGGGTGCGATATCGGGTGAGTTTAGTGGGTGAGCAGTACCTCTCAACCCAATTCATTAATTTTTTCCAGTATTTATCTTGCACAATGCAGTCTTGTATATTCGTGTTGCAGAATGATGGCTTTTCTGTTGACAGTCGCCAAATATTTTTCTATTAACGATTATTTCACTCGATCCAATTGTTCACAATTAAGGTCTGCGTTAACAGTTTGTCCAGGTTTCAGCAATTCACAATGAACAATTCCGTGAATACTTCCCCAAACACACAGGAATGTCTTTTTGGGATGTAAACCGTTTGTAACTCTATTAAAATTGCCTTTTATGTTTTGGATAATCATATTAGGAAGGACCTATTTTTTGTCTAATCTAACGATCAAAAAATGGTTCTGTATGTTGCCGTTGAAGCAATACGTTGCATGTGATGGATCGGTTAGCTTTGTTCTCTTGAGACAGAATATGGGGGACCCAAACACCTGCTCTGGTTATTTTTCCAATCTACTTTAAATGTTCTTGGATGGTTGACTAAGGTTGGTTAAGGGTGTTTTACAGTTCCTCAATTGTTTGACATGGATTATTTGCTTTCACTTCTGCCCTTAGCATGTCGTCGTTGGTGTTTCTGATTGATAGGAGTCAGGGATATCAAAATTACCAGATTTGAACTTTGAAAACCACCTTTGACATTTACGAATGTGTAATGCACATGGATAAATATTGCAAATGTTTTTGGTCGCAACTGTTGCGTTAATTTCACCCCAAATTGTAAAAAAAAAAAAAAAAAAAAAAAAAAAGAATTATTTAGAAGTGAAGTCACAATAACCTTAAAATGACTTTGTCACACCTTCCAGATACACAATGAGCTGACAAATGATAATCAAATATTGACGTGCAGAAATGACATTACTTTCCAGTCTCCCTGTTAGCTTTAAGTCAGGAATAATATCCATAGTTAATTATATCCAATTTTCATGTATTGCAATCTTCAGTATAGATGTGTGAAGTAATATTAAAGGTATAGGAAGTTGGATGAGACCAAAAAGGCTGCTTGTTATATGCAGGAGTTCATTATAAACCAGATTAGCTATAATGATATTTGACTGTGTATTGCAGAATTTTGCAATTAATTAACCATTTATTTTTATTTCTAGGAAGCATTCATACTGTGGAGGTTGTTAGCACAACTCCCTCTTCTTCAACTTGTTCTCAACCAGCAATAGAACAAACGATCATTACAAATGGCATCCTGATTAATGGCTCCCATACAAATGGTGTTAAGACTGAGAATAGTGGTAAAATTTTTTTAATGATCATGTTCCATTTTTATACATGCTTAATATCTGTATAATTCCTTGTTTTTTAATATCTACTTTCAGTTTTCTGATTTCTAAGTTTTGTTGTATAGAACATTAGAAAAATTCATTGATTATTAAATATTTTTAGGGGAATTAATCTTTTTATTTTATCCAAAAAAATTAAATGTGTAATCCTCTTTACTTTTTTGATATCCTTATGCGTATGCATTACTGAATCTAAATATTTACATTTCATAAAAGTATCAGATGCTTTTAATATCTGAAAATAATATAAAAACATTTTAATGCATTAAACTGAAACAAGAAAACTTTAATTTATCTGAAATATTAATTCAGTCATTATTTTTGTTCTTTTTACACAATAGTTTTCTCCGAAATAAAATGTTTGCTAAGAAAAATCATGTCACAAAATTGATTGAATACTTACTATTGTTTTAATAAAAGTAATGAATAAAATTCTGAGTTATTAGCATTTAAAAAGATGGTTTAATCGATTTTGGCGTGGATTTAACTTTTTTATTATTTCCAGCCTAATTTTTCTCCACTCTTTAAAAATAAAATTAAAGAAAAATACTATTTTTTTTAATATCACTTTCAATATTTCATCATATTTTCAGTAGGGTTTAAATCTGAGGTTAACTAGAATCATGCGTTCATAGCAGTTTGCTTAATTTGATTGTCTTCACAAAATTTCGAATTTACTGGTTAATTTCTTGTGCCGATGGTTTTGAATTTTATTTTAAAATATCAGTAAATTTATATCGATCCATTATAACCTCAATGAATTTGCAATTTTATAGCTCCTCCTTTGCTGTTTTCAACTGTTGGATGTAATTTCACTTTCAGAATTATTGTGTAACTCTAATGTATGCAGAATTGATGAAAGATATTAAATCAGGTGTTGCTCAAAATCCAATTCTCTGAAATTTGATTTTTCGTAAGTTTGAGACGAAAGCTGACCTTTTATTTCATCGACATAGAATTTTAACTTACCACTCAATTCTTATATGTAGCATATAAAATTATTTTAAGCCTGTTTATTAATGGACACATCTGACTAGTACCCACTACGTACTACATTTCTGCTTCATATTTATGAATAACCAGTTTTTGATTGTTTTAATTCTTTTAGACAATACTATGTCTTAATTTCACAGGACATCAATAAAGTCTCCAAGTCTTCTTTAATTTTGATTTCTTTCCTTTGAATTATACATTTTACCAGAAACTGATAAGTTCTTTAATTGGACCATTTTAAAAACTTTTCTAATATATTTTTCTTTACCTTGTTGAAAATTAAAAATTTACAAATTTCTTAACTGATATGATTGGATAAATCCAAGTGCAAACAATATTGAGAATAAAAAAAAAATTGAGGAAAATACAGATAAATATTAGGGAGGGAAAAAAGCAGGATAAAAATGTACATCAAAAAGAAGAAAATTTAAACTGCTAGACTAGAGGCATTCAAAAAAATATTTTCAGAATTCTTTTCAATAACTGAGATTAAAATCATGAGTACTCACGGGATTGATTGCCTTGGTATGTCTACAGAAGGAAAAGTGCTTGTAGTGATTGATACATTGAATTACAAGGTTTTTTTGTTTTAAAAATTTTAATTGACATTCATAAATCCTTCTGGATTTTAGCATTTCTATCAAGCCCTGGTTATAATTATGTGTTTACTTTAAGAAGATATCTTGTTGAATTCATTACTCTGTCATACCTTGATATGCATGCCATGATGTGATAAGTTTAGCGAGTTCAAGATTTTGTTGTGCATACAAATATTTTTATCACTGATTTCCCTTTCTCCCTGTGCATTCTTATGAGTAAAATGGCAGTTGTTAATAGCTGTTTTCTAATTATTATATTGTGATAAGTAGACTGTATTTCTGTGTGTTGAGACTGAATGGATGGGTCATCAAAATGAAGTACTAGTGATAGTGTTTCTAAGTGTGGAATGCTCGCACAGACGAAAGTAAGGCTCAATAAGTGAGTCATATTAAACATAATGAAAAATATCCAAGAACCACTGAATATCACATTTTGCTGCAATGCTGAATTTAATGTATTTACAAATTGCTCAGTTTGAGTTTACCAGTATTGTAGAGTGTTGTAAATACTTGAGCTCACTACAGTACTAGAAGCAGAAGACTGTAGTGAAATTTTTATAGTAGCATAATATGCGCCATGTGTATATTTTATGCAGATATGATTTTTTATGCTTTTGTTTATACTTCTGTCATTGCCAGAAGTGTTATATGAAATTCTGCTTTTATTTGTATGCTTACATCATGGCAGATTTTTAACTTTTCATCTCAGAGATATGCTAATTTTGTGATACTAAATAATGAAATTATTTAATATACATTATACATTCTGATATACAGTCAAAAGTCGTTAATCCGGACTCGTCGGGGCTTCGGCGATTCTGGATTATTGATTTTTCCGGATTATAGATCATCAGTTTAAATCTCGTAAGATGGCATGCAGAAATTCTGAAATTAAAAATATGAAACCGTAATTTATGAAATAAAGAACAATTATGATCTAAAGGTTATCAAAATTTACAAAAAAAAAAAAAAAAAAAAAAAAAAGCTTAATATTTATTTGTTTACTTTATTAAACATTTCTTTCAATGTAAGTTGTTTAAGTTGGTTCGTTTTATGTGATAATACTTTCTCTTTAATTCTATAAACAGACATAATTTCTTGTTCACTTACAAAGTTCCGCTGTTCAAGTCCCGTAATTGCTGTGCCGAGAATACCGATTAACTTGTCAGTCAAAATTTTTTTCATTTTCACTAACCTCTCTGTCACCTTCTTCATGTCTTTATCCAATTTTTGCAGCAATTCCACTTTTTGTTTGATGGACATCGAAACATACTTTCGTTTTGTAGATCCTTTGGGAGCTCCAGCATCGGAAATTCTATTTGACATAATCGAAAGTTCAAGTTTACTTTTATAAAATTGCTCTTACAGTCTGCAAAAAATAATAAGCCGCATCCAATTTGCAGATTAAGGAACAACGCAATCATCAACTTTAACTGAAATAGATAATTTTTGCTTATACCGTCTGTTATACATTAAACGCGCATGCGAAAACATATTCTGGACTTACGCGCACGCGTAAACGCCTATGCGCATGTGTTAACGCGGTGCATGTGCAGAAAGCTTTTAGCTTTGACGTCCGGATTTTGAGTGTCCGAATTAACGATGTTTGACTGTATATATATATATGTATGTATGTATGTATTGTGTGTGTATTACCTACATAGTTTCTGCGCTGGTTTGTTGAAATTACTATGAATCTTCAAAAAATCATGCTTTATGTTTGTCCAAAAAAAAAAAAAAGTGCACTTATATGTGAAGCCATGCACTTCAAGATCGATTGTAATTTTATCTCTTCCAGAGTATAGGACTTTTCTTAGAAACAAAGTTGAAATGCTGAATGCTCTTGATGGCCCATGTTTTAAATCCAGTCTTGATGGCCCTTGTTTAAATCCATGTGATTGAATAACTCACTTCTCAATTTTAGTAGTGATTTCAGTAATCGCAGAAAATACCATTTAGTTTATGTTGCAACTCTTGATATTTAAGATGATAAAATGTGGTATAAATATATATTTTATATAGTTATTTGTCTTTGTGTGTAAAATTAGTTTTTATTCAAAACAGATAAATCTGGAAATCCAAACTTGATTCCACCTGCAAAACCTCGAATTTTGTTATGTGGCCAAAAAGTTCAAGGTTCAGATTCACAGCCAACATCACAAGCTACAGTAATTGTTCAGGCACCACCATCTGCAGTGACTGGCTTTTCTTCAAATGTTCTGACAGTTGTTACACCAACATCTGCCATTGTTTCAGAGGAGAATAATACATCAAATGTATACAACAATGCCTCCTTCATTGCACCTCCGCCAGTAGCAGAAGATCCCTCTCAAGGTGTAGCCAAATCATTTAAACGAGTATTTTCAACTGCTAATGAGCTTGAAAGTTCTTCAGTTCCAGAAAAGAGCAGTGAAAACAATATTGAAATTAAAAGGCCAAAGCCTGAATCAGCATCATAAAGAATACATCTTTCTCTTTGCATAATTGAAAAATGAAATAAAAAGCCTCCTGTTGCATTATTATTATGTGCAACAAATGTGTTAGTTAAATACTCTTTTGTGACTTATGGAGTGACTTGTTTTTCTTTTATTCGTCTGAAGACATTGAAGCTTATAAAATTTGTGAAAAGAATATGTACATAGAAACATAACTGAGCTTATGTTCCATGAGGTAGAACTGCTTCTTGCAGTTTCTTCAGTTTAATGTTTGCAAATTCATCAACCACGTCCTTGATTCTTATGCACATACTGAAGCAATTAGTCATTAAATTCCTTATTATGTATAGGTAATGTAAATGGTTATATAGCTTGCATTTCTAATTTTTATGCATTTATTAAAGTGTAATATTAGCATTTTTTTATTTCTCTTGCATAGTTTGGTGACGCATAAAGTGTGATATTTGTTTTGTCTGGGTCCATGTAAGTGTTTAAAACTCTATTCATCAATAAATAAAGGAAGCAAGTAATTTTCAATGTTTATTTCAAGCAATGATTGTCATCCCTGGAAAGAAGTGTTGTGTTAAATATATTAAGAATTCAACTGTACATTTGAATAGGGATTATCGAATTATTTTTTAAATTATTGTTATTATTTTCATTGACATGACAAAGTGATTTTCATGGATCTGCCATTCCTTACTGATTCATTCATTGAAAATAGCTTTATTCCTTGTCTGATATCAAGATGTATTTTCTTGTCCCCCTTTTTTTCTGTATATTAAAAAGTTTTGCTTAAAATTTATTATTGTAAATATTTTTATAAATGGAAAAATTTGTATTAAATTATTACTTCAAAAAGTAAAATAATTTTAGAGTAATAATTAACAGCTATTTTTCTTTTACTGTCTGCGTATCTCATTATTTAAAAATAATTCTGAAGTATAAATGCCATTCAATTATGCTATTTTTACAGCTAAGGATTAAAACCTTGTAGTTAATGAACAGTATGTGAAAAAATACTGTGCTATATATACAATCAGGTGTATTCAGAAACTTTGTATATGTGCTTAATTTATAAGAAGCTTCTTGAGTATACAGTCGTCTCTTCGATTTTAAAAGTTTCAAAGTTTGTTAGTCATGCACCAAGAGTTAGTAGCATTAAGCTAGATTTCATTGTACATCATAATAAAATTTGGACAGCCAGTTGCTGGGGCATATGCATGTAGCATATTGGTTATAAATATGACTGGTGTATAAGAACTTTCTCTCTCCCCCCTTTTTTGTGAGACCTGTAGTATTGTGTAGGAATGTATTTTATTTTTGATTATAATGTAGTACATAAATAATAATAGAATGGAACAGTCTTTCTTTGTATTATCACAGCAAAAAATATTAAAAGTTTGCATTTGTTTCAAGCAAAATTTTGTAATTAGTGGTTTTTATTTAATTATTTATTATTATTTTTTAATATAACTTATATATTTGCCATGGTTGCTCAGAAGACACATGTGTTTTCATTGGCACTTATAGGAAATCTTTCATCATTTGCCAGCTATAGGGTTCAGTTTTTTGGAGGAGAGAGATTCAACAGATTGGTAAAAGGTTTCTAAACCTTTAAAAATTTTGAACTCTTTGTAAAACTATGACATGCACTTAATAATAATTCAGAATGAGGAAAATGACAAATAAGAAAGAAACATTAACTACCACAAAAAAAGACAAAGGTTTTTGAAAGTTTTGTTCTTTTATCTTGAAATATTTCTACATTTTTCTGCAAATCCAGTGAAAAATATATTTTGTAACATAACATTAACACATTTTTTGCTTATTACTATTAAATAAAATTGTATTGTTATAATTCTTTGTCTAGCATGAAATTATCTTACACATCAGCATAAAGTAATATTTATCCTGCTCAGAAATACTCCAGATATGCTTAGAAAATATTTTGAAAATGTAAAGTCTCTTGATTTATATGAAAGAGGGTAAAGGCTGGTATACGTAAAGAGGAAATTCTTACTGGTCTCATTTGTTTGTGTTATGAAAATTAGGGCAAGCAACATTTGGCTCTGAATTACTTGTATTATTTGAGTATGATAAATTTTTATGTTTATGCAGACACATGTCAGGAATGACAGCTTTACAAAGGTCACATTAAAAATTTAAGTATTTAATGTGGTGAACGACTGTATACTTTTAAAATGTGTGGTAATTTTTCTCTAAATATATTGAAATTCGAGTGTTTTAATTTCTGTGGAATTTCTTATACCGTATTTGATGGCATATAAGACGCACTTTTGTTCCTAAATTTGGTCTCAAAAAAGTTACCTGCGTCTTATACGTGAAGATAATTGCATTCAATAATTGTTTATTTGGCTTTTACGAAAACGTGAGAACTAAAAGAAACCACGCTATTGAAACTTTTTTTCCTTGTGTGTGGCCATCTAAATAAGGGTGCGTCTTATATGCCGTCAAATACGGTATTTTTAAATTTTGTTTTCCAAGAGGATCCAAAAATCTGGCTTCCTGAAATATTTAAATATACTTTAGATTGTGGGTGGGACTTCCCTTTCTGGTTAAACTATATATTTAGTTGATGTCAGTAGATCTATGAATGTTTAAAATATAATCCAGTTGTTCTTTGTGTACAAAAGTTGTCATCTGATTTCTGTTTTCTTCTTAAATGTAGCTTAAATGTTTTCAGCTTAAGTGTAAGATTCTTCGAACACTTACTGTATCATGTAGATATTTTAATCGTTCAGATGGTATCATCAGTTCGTAGTGCATCTACTGTTGTAACATATCTCTGCAGTCATCAGTATGACCATCTTAATCACAGTATATTTTAATGCTTTATGACTGTTGTATTATAGAAAAAAAGCATATATCTAATCTGTGTTACAACATTATACTGTATAAAAACATTTGTTTTGTATATTTTCTGCTTGGTTTACAATTTTGCCAAACTTGCCTATAAATAGAAACATTAGATGTTTTTATAAAATATTTCTCTCATATTTAAAAGCTGTTTTATGAGGGGAGTGAAATTAGTAATTTGAAATAAGAATATGTGCTTGTAAATTTAAAATACAATATATTTGCCAACCCCCTCCCCCTAAAATTCTCTGTTTAAAGATGCATCTGTATCTTTAATTTCATTTATTTATTAGCAACAAAAAGGCATACCTCAAAATAAAGTTGTTAAATCTGGTTTTTAGGCCCATTTCCTTATAATATTGCAAATATGTGATACTGTAATGTAATGTTCTTTAATAAGAATGTTAATTCTTCAGTACATTTATGTTTTAAAGTGTAATAAATAATAACAACAGAAAATACCATTCAGAAGTACTCAACCGTTCAGAACTGTCTCAACAGTTATTTAAACTTTCTATTATAGTTCTAGTAATGTAAAGTGCTAGAAAAATAGTAATGTTAATTGTTACGTACTGTGGTCTGTTATAATTAAGTCCTTAACTATTCTTAAATAAACATTTCTCAGCTTTTTTTATTTCACTACTTTTTTATTAAGATTATGGTATGTCATTGTTTTTCTTTCTTTTTTTAAAACTTAAAATTCATGTGAGAAAAAAATTATTTTTTTTTTACTTCTAGTAACTGGCTAAACTTCCTTATTGGCATGACTGCCTTTATCCAGTTAGAGACTTTTTATCACTAGGTATGATTCATAATGCTTTGTTTACTTACTTTCTTTAATAAATAATAAGAAACTGAAGTTGAGTTATTCGGAACATTTGCTAAAAAACTTGACCCATTTTCAGTTAACACACATAAAAAATAATAAAGAAAATGTATATTATATGTAACACATTTAAAAGGACATAAATCATTTATTGGCAGGATGAATAAGCTTTAAATGAATCAAATTAGTAAAATTATGAATGTGAATTTAAATGCAAAATGATTGAAAATACACATATGTGATTTATGTAATTATATGTGTTTTATTTAAGGAACCCTAGTTGAAAAACACTTCCAAGAGTGATCAGCAATCCATATAAAAGAACTCTCCATTTTCCCTTCCTGTATACTCATGTGCACTGAGTGTAATTTCTTGGAGTATATTTTTACCTTTCAGATATGCACTTTTCAGTTTGTTTATTGGAAAATTAACTATTGTGATTTAAAGTAATAGATTCATAGTATGAAGCAAGTATCAAGTATTTCATTGCCATATTTGCTAGTGTCTATGTTAAGGGTTTTTTTTTTTTTTTTTATTTTTTTATTATTATATTAGTTTGTTTTAAAGTGCATACTGTTTAAGTTTAAACATTACAGATTGTTAGCAAAATATTTTAATGCATTGTTAATTGTAAATCAGTTCATTTGTAAACTGTGGTTGTGAATATGAAGTATTAAAGAGTGATAATTGGTTCTAATCTTTAGCTTAATATAGTTTCTATCTTCAATAAATATATAATTTCGGTAGTTTTCCATACAGTTAATGCAATTTCTTACAAGACTATAGCATTTTATTAATTACAACGAAGGAATTATTCATTCTGTGAGTAGGGTAAACAGTAAGAAAGAAATTACTAGGTGATCAAGTATTTGATGTTTTCCTGTAGTGGATAGTGGTGATGTTTTGGAAGGAAGCTTGAAAACTTTATTATGATATTGTTATTGTTTATTAAATTTGGCTTTTTTCAATTTGACCAATTTATTACTTTAATATATTGCGATAGCATACTATTGTTACATTATTTTTATTTTCTGTTTCATCATATTCTATTTTTATACCATAAATTTCAAGTTGTTCAGATTATTGTTTCTAAATTTTTTTTAATCCCCCAGAAACTCACTTTAGAAAATAACTGTTAAATTATAAGTAAAAATAATTACTTATCAACTGCTTTTATCTGATGTCTTACAGTGCTTAATAAATATATTTCATTCTATCATTTCTTTTATTTGTATTTAACACTAAGGGATTAATTGTTCTAAAATGAAAACTTGTACTTCCAAAGTTATTAGTAGTGGGACTTTTCACGTTCTTTAAAAAATTATTCATATAGCTATTTAAAACAATTAAACAACATTATAATTGGGTTAATGTAATTCAGGAATGTGGAGCTTGTTTCTGATATATTTTGAAAGTTTTAAGCCCGATTTATTAAAATATGAACAAAATATCCGTATATGATGCCATAATAGGCTTACACTAGCTGAATTCATTTTGGCTTTAAGTAGATGTAACTTATTAAATAATGATTGTAAAAATATTTATGAAAATTTAAAGATAAGGAGTACTATAAGTTCATCATCCTCCCTGACATTAAAACATGAAGATTCTATTTTAATAACATAATTTCTGAACAATTTATAATAATACTATCTGCCCATTATATTTAAATTATTGTAATAATGATTCTGGTGTAATTTTTTTGGTCTAGTTGGACAACAGATGTTGTATGTGAAATTTTTAGTAATATTCTACCTTCTAGGAATTAAAAGCAAAATAGTCAAAAAATTATATAACTGGAGCCAATTTTAATGATCAATCTGACTTTTAAAATGTTCATCCAAAAATAATTTAGCAAAAATATTGTTTTGTTAAAATTATAATTGTGAAATATTGTTCAACTTATATAAAAAATGAGTATTTTAAATTATCTATATTTATTTAAATAAAAATTCAAAAATAATGAATTAAAATTTTACAACTATTGAATAATTTTGGGGGGGGGGTCTTTTCTGTATCATCTAATATTGAATAATTTTAGATGCATTATTTTCTCTAAAAATGAAAGTATTTAGATCTTTCTTCAACTGATACAATTCATGGAAAACTGCTTTATGTCCTCCTTATGTTCATATACGGGTTATTGCCATTGTGAATTTAGCCTGTAAACATAGTATTGAACATGAATTCAGGAATAAAAAGAAATATAAAATTGCTGTGATTAGTTTCTCTAGATCATGGATTTATCTTAGTATTTTTAGAAAAGTCTAAATATAAAATAATCTTTAAATTTTTGTTTATCCATAATACTATCTTAATTCCATGGACTGGGAAAGAAAGATTAAAATTGAAAAATTTTTATAGTAGTATCTGTTTAAGGAGGAGGGGGAATAAAAGTATATATTCTTTTATCTATTAAACATTGTTTGCTACTGTATCAAAAATCTTTAAAAATTTATTACTTGGAGACCAATTAATTGACAATAAAAATTATTTTTATGATTCTTTATTATTTTCATGTTATTCAAATCCTCACGATTTTAATTTTGGTTTAATATTACTGCATTGTTTCCAATATTAAGATCATAAGGATTGACTGTATACATTTAATATTGAGAACAGTATTACATTATCATTCATTATTTTGTATGAAAACAATGAAATAAACTTTTGTTGACTAGTTTAAATTGAAGAGCATTTTTATTTATCTTTCATATGATTAAGAACATGTTTTCCACTGTAAGTCACTTAAAAATAAAATTACAAATTTTTTAAGGGAATTTCATGGCTATGCAAGTATTAATACTGTTCATCCATATAATATACATATATTTAAAAATATGTATTTGTTTATTGAATTAAACATATGCATTCAGAAGTTTGTTTTTTATTTTTCCATTTCTGAGTCTAATACATATATATATAGAGAGAGAGAGAGAGAAAGAAGCTGTAAATGAGCACAAAAGCATAGGAGCTAAAAATAATAATTAAAAACCTGTAAGGTACTAAGATAATGGTAACGAAAAAAAGTCATTGAGGCATTTAATTTATTCGTGTGTATGTGTGATTTTAGATTACTTTTTAAATAATTAACGATAATCTACACTTTCGATAGGCAACGATCCTGCCTCTGTTGAATTTCAAAACTTGCTGGTAAGCATTTCCTCTTCTTATTCAAGGCATAACATGATATACTGAGCAAACTCCAACCTTACAAAACACTTTCCAAATGAGAAATCCGCTACACAACTTTTATGCAGTGCTTCAGATGATGTTTAACCCTCCTGCTTCGTCTAAATGCACTGAAATACTAAACATTTGCATATCCCAACTTTTTCCTTTCATATGATTTTGACATTCATCAGCTCATTCCTTCCTGGTGTTGCAATTTTAATGGCCAGCAGTATATATATATATATATATTCATTTTTCTTTTTAGAAAAAACTTCAGGATTCATTACTTTATTCAATGCACATAATAGTAAAGTAATTGAGAATAATCTGTCATAGGACAGATGCCTTTATGGGTAAATTTTGTATGTTAATATATTCATATTGTGTTAAGCATGGAAAAATGTTTATGCAGATAGGCATTCTGTCTTTAAAATTTTGAATCTGTATCGGATGCTAGGGTGAATTACCAATATTGAAACATTTTATCTCTACAGGAAGTGAGATATATTCTTATTTCTTCACTCAGAGTGAGTTATTGCAAAGGCTATTAAATATTGGTAGCTAATCTTGGATTCAATTCATGCTAGCTATCTGGGTGAGGTTTTTATGATTTTCCTCATAATTATTTATGATTTGTCACATAATAAATACAAGCGAATTTCTGTTAGGAAGACCTTAATGAAAGCATCTCTTCTCATAGGCCCTCCTGAGCTTTGCTATAATCATGTAATTCAGTCCAGCATAATATGCTTTTGATTTAACAGGTATTCTTATTTTAAGTTGGTTTTTTAGTTAAATTTAAAGAATTTTAGAAGTGTATTATTAGAAACAAAATAAAATTTCCATGTAATTCATCTTATAAAATTCAGTTAAAAAAATGAATGCCAATTTTCAAACTTGTGACTCAAGGATCTGTTCAAATTATTTTTTAAATTGTATAATACATTAATGATAAACTATTTTTGTCTATAAAATCTAAAAATGCCATTTTGGCACATATTTTGTCTTGCTGATGAAAGTTGTAAACTGATTTACAGTTTTATGCACATTCATTATTAAATATACTTTTACTTGATAATAATAGATAATAACTTGAATTGGTAAACAATGCTTAGCAAATATAGGCATACATGTAGGTAATGTATTGGACATGTAATTATTGTACAGTTTAAATTAGAAAAATTTCAAAATCTTGAAGAAAAGGGGGAAATTTTAAACTTAACAACCTCACAAGTTCAGTGATATGCTGCTAATTGCAAATTTTCACATTCAGTAGAGTAGGGTTTAAAAATTAAATCTTGAAGCTGGAAGAGTAGAAGTATGAAACTTTGTTTAGAAACTCATGATCTACATAAGTAAACATAAAGTATCATTTTTATGAGTTTTGAGTTACTGCATACTTTGTTATATGTTAATTATTTCATTGAATTTGAAAATACAGATTAATTTTAATGGATCTTTCTATAATGTCAACAGTTAGTATGCAGTTGTTCCCATTCTCAGTCTTCGAAGTAATAAGATATGTCTCGGAAATTTCTTATTGTGTGAAACTTAATCACACACAATAAGAAATTATTGCTTAAATTGTGATATTCTAATTGATACATCTCATTCGATCTACATGAGATTACTCAGTTGGGGCTTTCCTCTCTATGAGAGTTGTAATCACAAGTATATTATCTGTTCAAGCAATAGATTTTTTAAAAATTTTCTGTAATGATCTTAACACTGTGGTCAGATTAATAGAATAGGTAATCAACTGCCTGCAGGAATGAAACTGTTTTCAAAAAGTGGCATTACATTGCAATGACACAAATACAGGTCTCACGTTCTTTTTCTTCATCAAATGATGACACTTTGCTTTGAAGTAAGCCTCCTTTATTGGTGTTTCAATGAAGCATGTTATGTAAGTATCTACGTTGTAGGATTCAAAAGTTCCCAGACTGAGTCTATAATGTAAAAATTTTTTGCAGTAGTGCGACTAGGAGAACGCTTTTGTGTTACTACGTTCTCCCCCTTTTCTAAAGTAGTTTGTCCCAAATCACGGGGTCGAAAACTTGTGGCGGCAGCGTTTTTTGTAGGCAGGTACATTTAGTAGCCGGCGATAGAAAGAAATGGCATCAGTTGAGCAGAGAATCAATATAAAATTTTGTGTTTGCTTGGGAAAGAGTGCTATGGAGACTTTCGAAATGTGTAGGGAATTGAAACGTTATCGAGAATGCAAGCTTTCGAGTGGCAAGGTCGTTTTGAGAGAAGGCAGGGAAAGTGCCAAAGGCAACGAATGCTGTGGCCGTCCCGTGACTTCACATCGATGAAAACATAAAAAAGGTGTTTGCGGTGGTACGTGCGAACAGGCAGCGAATGATTTGCCAAATATCAGAATCAGTTGGGATATCAGAGGCCACATGCCAACGGATACTGACTAAGGATCTTAACATGCATACGGTGTGTCAACACATCATTCCACAGATGTTAAACGTAGACCAAAAGGGAATTCGAATGGAAATGGCTGGAGACTTAATCTCAGCTGTTGACAAAGAGATCCTTCCCTACTTGGAAGAATTGTTACTGGAGACGAGAAATGGGGCTTTTTTGTACGACCTGCAAATCAAAAGAGCATGGGTGACGTGAAATCACCACGGAAGCAGATATTCTGCCAAGATCGCTGAGATGATAGAGGTATTCTTCGATGTCCAGGGCATTGTGCATCTGGAATTTATCCCTGGAGGATGCACTGTGAACAAAGAACTCTACGTCGTTTGCGGGAATCGATCCGGCAGAAGAGACCAAAAATGTGGGCTGAGCAGTCATGGGTGCTGCTGCATGACAACGCTCCTGCTCACCATCCCTACTTGTCAATGACTTTCTTGCGAAAACAAAAACAACTGTTTTGCCTCATCCTCCTTACTCACCTGATCTCGCACCCTGTGATTTATTCCTATTTCCTGAACTGGCAAGACACTTGCAGGGTTGTCAATTTCAATCTTCAGATGAAGTTAAATGTGCATTGCAGGCTGAAGGACACGGACAAAAATGGGTTCCAGACATGCTTTGTGGATTCCAGACTTTACAGGCACTGGCAAAAGTGTGTTGTTGCACAAGGGTCTTATTTCGAATGAGGATGTGTTTCTGCAGTCTAATTCATAATATTTTTTACATTATAGACTCAGTCTGGGAACTTTTGAATCCTACCTCATGTAATGTGATTAAAACTCCTAAGCCCCGTTCACATGCAACGCTCCTTCGCACAGCTGCCGTTAGCAAGGGGAGAAAAAGGAGACATGAAAGAGTTTCGTCTAGGACCCGTTCAGAAGACCACCGTCTTCCTTCCCCTTAGACCTAAGCCTCTGTGAACAATCATGTCTCCGAATTGGCAGATTTCTAATAGTGTTTACACATTTTTAACATTTACTGTTGTTAATTTTGTAATCTGGACTTTTGCAACTAGTACCTGAACTTTCGTAATGGTTCCTGAAAATATATGCGTTTTAATTATTATTATTATTTTATAAGCTGTTATTTAGTTCACTCTTGGTGCTTGTCGCTATTTTTAAAGGATGGTCATGGATTTTTAAACTGCTTCCCGATAAGAACTCAAACTTTGTACATACATTGCTTGTGGATGTGGTGTCACACTTTTGATTTTTAGAGGACTAGATTTTTTCAAATTTAAAGTTGAAACGATTTTTTGCTAATATTAACAAATAAACTGAGAATCTCAGAATATTATAGTTTGCACCATAACACACTGTGGAGGGAAAAAAAATTAAATGAAATTTTTAGCGTAATTTTAAAAAATATTTTGGGAGAATTTTTGAAAATCGTTCATATTTTTAGACTTCTTGACGCCCATTAATTTTAAAATTTCATATCTAAAAATATATCGGTTACGAACTTCCGACATTTTTACAGCATATAAAACAAACGTTTCACATTTAAAAAAATGATACAGGAAATTAATTGGATGATTTTTTTACTTTTTTGAAAGATGTGCAGTGAAGGAGAATGGGAAATATTGGTTCTTCTTGGGCATCAATTCGAAACATCGGTTTCAAAGTAATAATCTCATTATACCACACTATTTTTATGACATTATTTATGCTATATAAGTTGTTATTGTTGCCAATTGTTAGTTCAGCCTTAGATTGGAGATATTTCTGAGTTAACTTTCTCTAAGATGCATTTTGCATTCCGTTGTGTTTAACGTTCTTATTTGATTGAAGCATAACTACTGATTATACTTAGTGATATTCTAAGCACTTGTACGAGTATTTCTGTGGAAAATTCCAGAACTTTGAAGTGTTTCTGTTGATAAAATAAATTTAATTAAGCTATCATCGGATTTGAGTGCAATGACAATCATTTACGAACTATTATCAATCTATTACAAACCTGTACGCAGGCAACAATATTATAATTAATTAATGTATTAAATTGTTTTGAACGTGTTTTACAAAACAAAAACAGGTAAAGAAAAATTCTGCTTGCGTTTTACGAGTTTTTGCAATTTTTC